TGCCAGGTCCTAATGATAAATAACCATTTTCTAGTGAAACTTTAATTATAAGCCAAGCAGTGCACAAAGCCTGAAGCATCCAGTTCCGGCAAGAGGGCTTGCGCCCCTCCCTCACCGCCCTGGAGAAACCCAGTCATTAGCGAGAACTCCTGCAGGAACCTGGATGTGGAATATTCCTTCAGGCTCCGTCGTCAGCCTGCACCAGCTTTAGGGCCCAAACCATAGGGGCGGCTGCAATTTGGTTTCCACATGTACCCCGGTGATTTTTTTTTTTTTTTGGTGTTGTTTAAAATCTCACTTTTGCCCTTTCACAATGGATCATAGTGGGAGTGACCTGCATGGGTGAAAGTTAAAAATATGTGTGTTAACTACAAAGGACGGGCCAATTTTAAAAGGGTGCCATTTAACCTTTGTAAATACAGGCCTCTGAGCCTTGGAAAAACATTCGCTTCTGGAGCCCTTGGACTTGAAAGCCTGTGCTGACTGTGGCAGTGTGTGCAGCACCAGGTGGCCTTTTTACATGACACTTAGAGAACAGGCACCAATGGCAACCCACGTTCACCTACATCCCGCTGGCTAACATCACCTACCCCGTGACTCAGAAATATCACTCCTAGGTGTTTACCCAAGAGAAATGAAAATACATGTCCACACCAAGACACGTACCAGCATGTTCACAGCAGCAATATTCATAACATCCCCAAACTGTAACCAACCCAGATGTCCATCCAGAGGAGAGCAGACAAGTAAACAGTAGTACATCCATACAATGGGACACTTACCAGTTGCTGGCGAGTCGATTCTGACTCGTGCTGACCCCATGCGTGTCACAGTAGAACTGTGCTCCATAGAGTTTTTTGAAAAAAATTTTTTAAAGCAAGAATGAAGATTTTATTTGGCATATATTCCAAGAGGCAAAAGTGGGTAATGGAAAAACATGCTGCCAGAGACATCCATAGGGTTTTCAATGGCTGATTTTTTGGGAGTAGATCACCAAGGCTTTCTTCTAAGGTGCCTCTGGGTAGACTTGAACCCCCAACCTTTAGGTTGGCAGCCAACCATGTTACCTGTTTGCACCACCCAGGGGCTCAAATGGAGCACTACTCAGCAAAATAAGAAAAAAAAACCTACCAATATATGCAACAATAAAAAAAGAAGCCAGTCAAAAAAGGAGTGCAGATTATATGATTCCATTTATATGAAGTTCTAGAAAAGGCAAACTAATCTATGGCGACAGAAGCCAAAGCAACAGTTTTGTCTGTGGGGAAGGGGTGCGGAGCAGGGTGGGCAGGAGGGGATTTTCTAGGGGGATAGAAAATGCTCTATAGTGTGATCAGAGTGGTGGTTATGGAATTCACAAACTGTACATTTACAAAATACGTGCAATTTATTGAATGTAAATTATGCCTTAATATGAAAACAATAAAGAGAACAAAATAAATGTCTACAACAGGACTTGACATGATGAAAGGATTAACTCATCACTTTGGATGTTGCTTGAATGAGGCCACGTGGACATCTCAGACCCCCAAATTCATCTAGAACACGATATCCTAAAACTCCAGACAACAACCCCTGGTTCCCAGGCTCAGGGCCTCAGGCGGTCTGGCCTAGCTTGGATGCTGTGGAAGACGAGCACGAGGCAGCAGGACCCCAGAGGCTGAGTAGTCCCCAGAACACTGCACACTGGGGCACCCAACCTGCACCCAAGCGTTTCAAGGGGCCGAAGGACCACGGCTGCAGGTAGTTAGGGAGTGGGTGGCACCGCACAGACAGTGGCCTGACTTAGGCCCGCAGGCCCTTCCCATCACCCAGCAGGAAGCTGGAGGGGGTGGAGGAGGCGCTGGCCTGTGCAGGTTCCACCCAGGCCTGAGCCCACTTGTGGGCACTCCGCCAACCATGACAGTCACAATGCAGCAGGAATGAGCAGACCGAAGCCGGGCCTGGGTCTGGGCATAGCTCTTCCCTCCCACTAGGGGCCAAGACATACCCCCGACCCTCAAAGAGGGCCTTCTACCACCTATGGCCAAATAAGCCCAGAACACTTCTATTCCCCTAGAAAATTCCCTCCTGGTCAGCCCACTCGACGCACCCTCCCCGCAGGGAAACACTGCTATTCTCTTGGGTCAGCTTGCTTGTCTCCAGCCGGTTCCAAGTGCAGCCCTCCGCACCTGGTGTTTGTGCAGGCGAGGAGGAGTTTGGCAGAATCACCTTTCTGCAGGTGTGATCTCCCCCCAGGGGTGCGTACGCGTGCATGTGGGTAGGCAAGGGCAGTTACTTTCACTCTTAAAAATATCAATTTTATAAAAATCTTCCACCCTTCAGGGTCTTCTCCTGCATCTCACCCATCAGCGCTCACCTTGAATGCCGTGTCCCAGGGAAGCTTCCTTGAAGCCTACCAATCAATGCCCACACCCAGCCCTCCCTGTCATCTCCTACCACTTTTCGATTCCTGGCCAACGCACCTCATGCGCGGCTACCACCCGTCTGTCGGTAGAGGCTTGTGTGTTGCTGTGATGCTGAACAGGTTTCAGTGGAGCTTCCAGACCACAACAGACTAGGAAGAAAGGTCTGGTGATCTACTTCCGAAAATCAGCCAATGAAAACCCTATGGATCACAATGGTCTAGTCCATAACCGATCATGGGGATATAGCAGGACCCAGTACCATTTGGCTTCGTTGTGCCTGGTATCGACTCCACAACAGCTGATAACAAGGACAGCATGCCAGCAGCGACCGAGAAGGAGGAGGGTCACGGCTGCTTTGTTCCCAGTGCATAACAAGCACAACCGGCTCTTTGCACACGGCACACAAATAAATGACGTAGAAGAAGATGCTGAAAAGTGGATTTTCCACGTTTTATCAAAGTACCTGTGCTGCCACACTAGGAGAAGTTGTAGATCTTACGAAGCTGACCAGGCAAATGCTGCTCAAGAGCAATTTCATCCTCTAAAAAATGGACTATCATAGGTAGCACAGACTGTGGATTCAGCACGCTGAAATGAAAAACGATCCACTCGGGAACATGAAACCAGGAGGGGAGGCCATATATGCTGACCTGGGAAGTCATCCAGCACACTGTCCAGGGAGAAAAAATTACATGTGTGTATGCGCACACTCACACGTGCGCATGCTGAGGCCTGGCACCTTAGAAACGACGATGGAATCATTTAAAGAAAAAGCACTCAGATCTGGCCCCAGCCTGACACCAGGCCTATACAGGGGGAGGCCATGTTATCACCAGACGTAACAACCCCACATACCCCAAGACAATAAAAAACACTGTACCCACTGATTTCTTGGTTGCATATACATCTGTTAAACGCTTGGCCCCACGAAGCACTTTTGCATCCTAGCCTGAGGCCGTCAGTTCTGCCCCGGACTGCTGAGGACGAAGGATTCTGAGCCAACGGGTAGAGCGGCAGAGCCCGAGCTAGGCGGTCTCTCAGTCTCCACCTTCCTGTCCGTCAACAGGGCTCACGCCAACTCCCCGAGCCACCACCGCTTCCTGGCCAACTTACACAATAAAATGAGGGACTGAACACCACAAATATCCTTATTCTTACACAAGTCACGACCTTTCAGTTGCTCCCTCCTTGACACTAGACAAGGACTTTGGTCACTTACTGGACGTTTATTATGTGCCAGCCTTTGGGGAAGGCACCATGAATACGCCATGGTTTTTTTAAAAATTACATAATCTAACAGATCATAGAGTGGTAGGAAAAAAAAAGACTTTACATGGCTACAGTTTTGCTTTCTGCACTAGGAGTTGGGGAATAAGGATGGGAGGGTAAGGAGTACGGGAAATTTGAAACTAAAGGCCTTTGGAAATCAATTCTGACGTAATGTAGCATATTAGAATGGCTTCTGAGCTATCTGCCAAAGTTCAAGAAGAGGGCCTATGCTGAAAGAAGTTGGCAAGGGCCTGAGTTCTGCCTGGTGCTTCTCTGATGGCAGCTACTTGCTAAATGTTCAGTGTGGTGCAAGGCCGGAGGGGGGATCCCCATCCATGGTCGAGAGCCAGGATTCAGGTGCCCTTAGAGTACATGGGGTTAGCACCCACCCCAGATTCTGCAACACAAGAGCCTGGAACAGCAAAAGGACACTCCGTGTCTCGCTCCTGGGATGGGGCTTCTGAGAACAGCAAGGCTGGGGCGGAGGGAGCCCAGGGGCAAGGGCTGGGCTCTGCCTGCCCCTTGTGGCATAGCTTGTAGGCCGGCTTGTGGGGTGGTGGCAGGGGCATCTGGGCCTGAGCTCGCCCACCTGAGTGGAGCAGGCCTGATCACTCGGCTTCTGCTGCAAGCCCAATCTCTGCCCTCCGCCCACATAGCCAGGGCTTGGCTGGGCCCTACTCTGGGCAAGATGGCCCAGAAAAAGCCCACAGGGCCCCGGCAGGCCCCACTGGTGTCAGGAGTAGTGGTGGCCCTGGGTTGTGGGAAACAGTGGTCAGCCAAAAGCTGAAACCAAAATTACCAAAAGGAAAAACAGGAAGAGTCCACGTAATAAAAACAGCAAGGCAAGGTTTTGCATTTAACACCCACATTGTCCTACTTTCACTTTCCCAAGAGACAATTCTGTCATCCAGAACCCGGGTGCCAAATGTTTGCTTGGAGAACACAGAGGCCTATAGTGACCGCAGCACTCGAAGTAGAACTGAACTTGAACTCGGTACCCCCAGTGATAGGCCTGGTCCCCCAGTGAGGTCTGCGGGTGAACAGTGCATGCTTGCCCTCAGAGGCAAGGGTCCCTGACCTGAGCTGGGGGCTTTTACAGACACTGGCCCCTCTGAACAGTGTGCACAGGCCAGGGTACCCAAAGAGTCCTGGACTCCAGGCAGCAAGTGGTTCTTCCTCAAGCAGCCCGTACAGCAGAGCTTCTCAAGCAGGTCCCCAGGCATCGCAAGCTGTGAACCAGCCCCCACCCCAGGCACACGGGCCCCTGTTAATGGAGCTATGTCCAGAGCCACTCCGACACTCGCACTATACAACACTACTCACCATGTACGAGGGGAAGATCAGAACTCGCTTGTGCTTGCCACAAGGCCACTGTGGGTCGTCCAGGAGATTGGGATCATAGTCCATGAAGTCTCCCAGGTCACTACCTGAAGGCCGCAAACAAAGTCATAATTAGGGGTCTGGAATGCTCAGAACTAGGAGCAGTGGGGAGAAGTGCACAGTTAGACGGAGGAAAGGCTGGCTGCAGATCCTTTACTTCTGAGTCACCATGTCACCCTGACCTTTAGCAGGCAATGAGGTGTGGCCCTCATAAAAGGTTTCACCAAATTCTTAACATTCTGGCATTTTTTTCTATTTTAGAAAATGACATGTTCATCTCACTGACCCAGGAGAGCACAAAACTTCACAAAGCACAAAAGCTCAGGCAGCCCTCCCGGATCACAGAGCAAACCGCCGAAAAGGCCACTTTCTAAACTGGCAGATCAAATCAGTGAACTCAGCTGTGCCTTCCGAGAAGCACAATTTGGTGTGACTGCTTCTGGGCTGGCTACTGGTCACAGTGTGACTCACCCGTGTCCTGGGGGACACACATCAGAGCACACACAGCTGCGGTGACACCAGGCAGCTGGGACCAGGAGGATGAGCCCTCCAGAACTCAGCACTTGGACCCCACCTGGGCAACTTCACATTCATCTGGGCCTTCTCTTAGAGTGCAAACAACATTGCTCCATAGAGGGGGTTCTCCCTATCAATTTTTACAAATGTTTGTGTAGGCAAGGCTGGACATGGTCAACTCACCCAGTGTGAATCACATCTGAGCCTGCACCGCGGGCCCTATTTTGTGAAAGAAAGCCAAACCGAGTGTTGTGAAAATGCAGGAGAGGACCAGGTCATCCTTGAGATGAGGAGCTGAGTGGCCAAGAAGCTGGATATCCAGCCATCTCTGCAGGGCATCCTGGGGCAGGTGTCGTTGGCATTTCTCCTTGCAGGCCCTTGGAGGGCCGGCCACTGAGGCATCTAACTAGAGGGGAGGTCACCCTGTGCCTTGACTGTCAGCTGGCCTGGCCTGAACTCAGGCTTTCCGAAAAGTCAGGCACCTGCAGGATGAGCCTGTGCTCCGCGGGCATCTGGCCTCCAGCCCACACCATCACCCACCCACCCACGAGCTTCCCAGGCCCAGCCAGGGCCCCAGATCACCTGCGTCGAGGCTCCCCTGGGTGCTGCTCGCCCGTCCGATGGAGAGGCTGCGGTGGCTCAGGTTCCGAAACTGGGAGAAAGAGGACGTGGAGTCTATGGTGTTTCTGCGGGCCCCGAAGGCATTTGTGGGTAACAGAAATTGGGTATAAGAAACAGTCTAAAAGGAGAAGACACAAGTGGGCAAGCGATTATTCTCCCAGGCTATGAAGGCTCTGCATTCTGACCAAGCTGTGTTACCACTCCAAGTTCAGGCCCACATTCTCACATCTGCAATTCTACATTCCAATAAGACATGAAAAATGACATTTATTTTGGCATTCATGTATGTCATATATGTGCTCAAGTCTAACCTGAATTGGCTTGAGGCTATGGATAGTTTAATTGCTACCATTTAGTGTGACTATTCTTGTTCTGCTGCAGACATAGGTCCTATCTGAGAAACTGTTAAAGGTGCTGTGTAGTATACGAGACACACACTGGATTACTTTTGACCACCCACCAAGGGTAGGATTGTAAAATACATCTGGCCCCACGAGCCTGTGATAAGAAACTGTGGGCTGCCATCATGTTCCTTTGGCAGATGCTGTATATGATACTCAACCCTACTCCATTCCCCCTCACTCCACTGTGAACGCTCAACCTTTAGGAATGAATACAGAACAGGTGCGTTTCTTTTCATCTGCACGGGGAAAACGGGCCCAACACTCTGAGCTCAAGGGTGATGTCATTAAGACACAGCTGTGACTTGGGGGTCGGGGGGTGCGTCTCAATCCCAGAAGCCACACCTGCAAGCAAGCTACCCTGGGACAGTCTCCCCAAAGAAACACTTGCATCATCTCCATAAACAGGCTTTGGGAGGGTTTATAAGGACTGCCTGGGACCCAGAATGCAAAGGTTAAAGTTCATCTTTCAACCTTTCGCTCCTTGGACGTCAACCCAGCAGGCCACTGAAATGTGGACGAGAGAGGACTGTGATAGCCCTGCTGCTCAGGAGTCACAGCGTGAAGCTGCAGGGACTCTGAGTCTTTCAGAGCCATGGACTATGGGACTCTAGAAAGCTTTCTAGTGGCAGGAATGCTGCTTGCTGATGCCATCACTGAATGAATGCTGAAACCACCAGCTACCATCCGGAGCACAGCATGTCAAACCATGGTGTGTGCATGTTATGTGAGCCTGTGCATGCATCTATGTGCATGTGCATTTGTGATACCACTAAGTATTGCACCAAAACCAAATAAATACCAAACCCATTGCCTACGAGTAGATTCTGACTCACAGCCACCCTACAGGACAGAGTAGAACTGCACCATAAGGTTTTCAAGGAGCGGCTGGTGGATTCGAACTGCCGACCTTTTGGTTAGCAGCCGAGCTCTTAACCACTGGACCACCAGGGCCCCAAGTACTGCACACTGGGTTGGAAACAGTGTTGGCAGAAAAGTAAATGTTCTCTGGGAGCTCTAACCATGCTGCCGCTAAACCACCGGCTCGGAGGGAAACTGAGTGCGTGCTGGGGGAACTGGGGGAACTGGGGGAACGGGCATGACAGCCTGGGAATCGCCCCTGGCCTTCCTGCCCCCAGGCCCAGCTTCTCCCACCCAGAGAGTGAGGCTGGTCCAGCACCTGGCGCTGCTTCCTGACACCTGTGGCACTGCATGAATGCCTGCGTGGGAAATCTGGCAGCCTTACCTTCCCGTCAGCGCCCAGCTCCACGCCCTCCAGACCGATGATCTCTTTCAAGCTCATGGCGCCTGCCGATGGCCTCCCTCCATCCAACTTCAAATCCCTGGGGAGGACAAGCCATGAAAATGCTTTTGTCCCCCCTGGAGGAGCCACGATGATGTTTATTGCAGATAACACCATAGTCACACTGGTGAAAGTGACCAAGGGCCCTGGTGGGCTGAAGGGCGTGGCTGTCCCTCCTTCGTGGTGTCTCAGCGACACTTTGCCTGCAGTTTTGCCTTGTCCCATCTACTTTGAAGTAAAAGAAAGCCACTGGAACAGAGAGCCCGATGGTGAAGCCAGGCTCACAAATGATGGGCTGCTAGCATCCCCACCTTGGCCTGGCATCACCCACCCCCTAGCCTGGCGTCCCCTCGCCGCCCAGTCTCTGCACTCTTGGAGACAGACAAGTGGTTCTCTCTGGTGCTCATTTTTCCTTCCCACCCCTTAATCAGATGGGAGAAATAAATTCCTGTCCTAAACAGCTCTCAAGTTTATGCCTGGTGATGAAAGAATTAATACCCCAGTGATGGTCCCAGCCACCTCGCAAGGCCACCCAGAAAATGACTATTTTCCTATAAAAGAAAATCAGCATTCAGACAGCACTTCACACTTTACAAAGACTGTCACACGTCATCTCTTTCCTTCTTTAGGATGACCCTATGAGACAGGACTACTATTATTACCCTATTTTACAGATGAGGAAACTGAGGCCCAGAGTCGGTAAATGGCTTGTCCAAGGTCAGGGACAGTAAGATGCAGAGACTGCTTTTGCACCCAATGCTCTGTCTAGCACAGCACATTGCCTCTGAGATGCCAGATGCACTCGCTGTGGCTGAACGCCCATGTAACAGCTCAGATTCTCCCTTAGAGTAGTTTGCAGACTTTGCTGCACATTAGAATCACCTTGGCGACTTTGACAAGCTACTGCTGTCTGGCTCCCACCCACAAAGGTTCTGAGTTAGGGGGCCTGGGGTGTGGCCTGGCCATTAGGAGTTTAAAAGCCCTCCCTCCAAACCACAAAAAAACAAACCTGTTGCTGTCAAGTCGATTCTGACTCATAGCGACCCCTATAGGACACAGTATAACTAACTGCCTCATAGGGTTTCCAAGGAGTGGCTGGTGGATTCGAACTGCTGACCTTTGTGTTTAGTAGCTAAGCTCTTAACCACTGCGCCACTAGGGCTCCAAAAGCCTCCCAGCTGACTCTAAATTGCGGCCCAGTTTGAGGATGCCTGTTTTCCGGCTTTAGTCTCTCTTACACATGGTGCTTGCTAGTCACAGCCCACTCAGACCACCAGTGTTCTTGCTGTGTGGCCTGAGGGAGGCACGATACTCAGGGCCCTCACCTACAACCTCAGCGAGAACAAATAAAATGCAAAGGCAAGTCTCTCGGGGCCCAGGGAAAAAAGAAAGAAAGGGAGTCAGGTGGGTGGGGAGAAGAGTGAAAAGAAGGCCACTCTGCACATGGAAAAGGGGTTCTTTTATTTCTTGTGCCATCATGCTAGTCTATGGGTATTCACGGACAAAGCAGCCTCCTTACTCTACCTGCAGCGTGGGGTGTGATCAATGACAGTGTTCAAAATAAATGCCATGACCACCTGCACCCAGTAAGGCCCGTGCTTTTAAACTAGTCGCCATGGGAGGCTATGGTGCTGCCGTGCTCAGAATGTCTCTGGAGCCCCTTTTGGAACTGACATCAAGGTCAGGGCGAAAAAAAGCAACCAGCCCACCCATTCCACGCTCTGAAAACTTTGTACTTTTACGTATATGTGTACATATATGTATATATACATATATAACGTATAGTTTATATGTATATATAAAATATACACATATGTATTTATATTTACTCTAATCATTATTACTTTGTTTAATCACTGCTCGCTATCCCTCACACCTGTCGTTATTCACCAGGTTTGACTTCAGGTTATTTCAACCATCAAACTTACCCCTTAAGGCTGGGACAGAATAGGACAGTAATCCCAAATTTTAAATCATCCAGGTAAGGGCTCAGAAGTCGTGAGCAATGGCAGTGCTGCAGGGGTGTGTCTGAGTGTGCCCTCAGGAGCCTTTTCACTCACTCATTCTCAAGTCCAGGATTACTTAAGTCCCGTTACTTTATAAACACAGCTGTCCCTGGTGGCACAAATGGTTAAGCGCTCGGCTACTAACCAAAAGGTTGGAGGTGCGAATCTACCCAGAGGTGCCTCGGAAGACAGGCCTGGTAATCTGCTTCCAAAAGGTCACAACCTTCAAAACCTTATGGAGCACAGTTCTACTCTGCACACACGGGTTTGCCATGAGTCAGAAACAATGTGACAACTGGTTTAGTTTTTAACTTTATAAATACACACTGTAGCAACTAAGTGACCTGCATTCAGTTTAGTGACCTCAAATCCAATGCTGGGAAGACAAAGCGCCAGAGCCGAGCAGGGCTCATCAAGGCCAAGCAGGCAGCCCCAGATCTCAGGAGTGTACAGACCCACAAGGCCACCTGCAGCGCTGCTCCACCTTCTAAATGAGAAGTACTAGCCAGTTCTCAAAAGTTGCTTCCTAAAGCAGGTATGGACGGAGATGATGAATGTATCGGGGCTCTAAGAAAGGGAAATGCCTACAAAGCAAAAACCTGAACAAGGCAGTGGGGCAGAAATATCCCTGGTGGTGAGGGGCAGCGGACCACAGGGAGAACAGCAGGTGCACTGGTACGAAAAGAGCAGCGTCTTTCGTTTCATTAAAGGACCTACTGCAGTTCCACGGACTTCCCACTTTTCAAAGCCAAACCCAGAAAGCATGTTCCTCAAATGCCCAACTCCCAAACAATTTTCTCCTTGTTTCCATCTGCCAGGCAGTGAATGTTACTTAGGGCTGAAAATCAATATATGCACAAAGAATATCTTCATGGGGTGAGACGGCCAAGAGAAACAAGGAGTACTAAAATAAACCCATATTGAGAGTGCTCCCAGATGGAGTGCTAACTGCGGGCAGGAACAGTATCGTGTCTTCTTTATGTCTCATCTGTAGACACTTAAAGAAAAACCAGCTGAGCTGAGGTGGTCTGGATCTTTGCTGTTTCACTGGCATCGGTTTTATAAAGATGACTCGGGACCTGGGTGCTTTTCCGTCTTACCCCCTTTCATCTGTCTGCGACCTCCTCATGGGCTCGCTGCTTCCCTGGGGCAGCCTTGCCCTTTGCCAGCTGGCCCTTCACTGCTAAATGCACACACAACACTCAACAGGACCAAACCAGCCCTGGCTCATCCCACACGCCTCCTTGGCGCTTCCCCCAGGGGAAATGGAGCCATAACAAAAAGTACGCACTATGTACTCACATAAAACCCAAGACTCCTCTCCATGAGATAAACCCTGCTGAAAGAAACAGATTCTCTGACCCAGTGGATGCTCTGGATTGCATGAAACAGCAAGAGGCAAAACTCCATACTCCTACATACACAAACCAGACTCTGGAGGATTACTGTTCTGGACCCTTACGGCAGTCACCATTTCCCACTGGGTGTTCGCTTGTAACCTTATACTTTCTAAATAGCCAAGGCCCAGCCGAGTAAGAAAATGAGCTAGAAGAGCGAGGGGCCTACACTCAACTGTTAGTGGAAAAACACATATTGCTCATTCCAGACCAGTGTGGTCAGGACTTTCTGCAATGATGGAAATGTTCTCCATCTGCACGGCCAATATGGTAGCCACGAGCCTCATGTGGCTCTTGACGACTTTGAAGTGTGACTTCTTGACTGAGGAACAGAATTTTTATTTTTATTTCATTTTAATTAATTTAAATGTAAATAGACAGATGTGGCTAGTGGCTGCTATACTAGACTAAGTCTTGGTGCTTACTTGTTAAGACTTTGGCTACCATCAATTCACAACTTCCTGTAGAAAGATAATTAATATATGTGTTGACTTGGGTGTGGTCTCCAGTTTTCCTCCCGCAACAATTTTCTCCTTGCTTCCATCTTCCAGGCAGCGAATGTTATTTAGGGCTGAAAATTAATATATCTGTTGGCTGCCTTAGGGGATGTTTCTACTACAGGGCCCACTCGCTGAGGAGACTATGTTGGTGTCCCAGAGGAGGTGGGAGGGACAGGACCCTGTATATGCAGTGAGCACAGAGTGCGGAGGGAAATGACTGTGGGGTCCATGAACAAAGGTGACCCATATCCTGTGCCCCAGGAACAGGGCTCCAGCTTTCATGAGAAGTCACATCCCACATGTGACACAGAAGCAGCAGATCTCTGGCCCACAGGGACCACGATGGGGGTTTCAACACGGCCAGAGCACGCCAATGAACAATGACCAGGCTGTGCTTCCCAAACCCTCGGGATTACAAGTGGCTCCAGGACATTTGTACAACCCTGGCGCTGGGGAGGGGCTGCTCTAGTGATAACTGAGTTTGAACTACACTCCAGCCTTGTAGAAAGGGGGCTAATAGTTCAAATTAAGTAGATTTTTAAAAAGAAGGTGAGATATTTCTTGCACACTAAGCTGGTACACTCATATCTGCTACGTTCATTTCAAAAACTACACTGAAACCACATTAGTGGAAATGGAACAACCAGAACAGAAATAATGAGAATGTTCATGTGTTGTGAAGAATGTAACCAAGGTGAACAACTTGTGTAGAAATTGTTGAATGGGAACCTAAACTGCTGGGTAAACTTTCACCAAAAATACAGTATTATTAAAAACAAAACTATACTGACGCGGTAATAAATATTACAAATACCCTAAAATGGTTGCTTCTTGTCTTTCCTCCCTCAGACTCAGGGAGAGGTGGTCACCAACTCCAGAGCCGCCATACTGGGAGGTTTAAACGAAAGAGCTCACACGTGCACTCGCAGCTCCATTTCCCTGGAAAATGAAACAGGTCTCATTCAAGCTATTTCTAATAATGTGGGCTTCTTTTAATAGTTGTTCAAGTTGATATATTAGCAGACTCCCAGGATCTGAAAAATATGTCTTTCACAAAGAGGGTGACAAACTTCTCTAGGCTTAATTCTCTTAGCTAAGTGCTCTGTGTCACTGAAAGCTTATATTAGTACGAACCAT